TCCGTTTTGGTATAGAGTGGGACAGGGAGGGGGTGATGCTACTGTAGTCGAACGGTGGGACGGACGTGCAGTTCAGTTTTTGGGCACGCATACGGTGCTGCAGGGATTTTTAGGTGTACCTCTTCGGGCTCTTGCATACCTTTTTCTCGTCAGATGTGTGCGTGTTCTTTAGATCCTCAGATGGCTCTAGCACTTTCGTGACCACGGGCTGAGAGTCTTTTGCTAGATTTTGACATTTAGCAACTGACATACGGTTTAATGTGAAGACAAACTGACGAAGAGACGGCGAGACTGGAACTATTCCACACAACGACACAAGCAGTTTCCTGTTGGCAAGAAATCGCGACAAATGCGGCTCGATTTTTCGGCTCGACCTCAAAAGAAAGACAATAAAAATGTAGCAACGGCCTGGTTTGGAATGCGAGACACGAAACACTAGGATACTACTGGTGTGCTCCGTAGCATACGAATGCGGTGCAACAGTGTCGGCAGAAGAAAAAGAGCGGCACGTGTCGGCATTTTTTAAGCACACGCCGTAAATATTTTCCCGTCATCGTCACGAAAAACCAATGAAAAAAAAAGAAACGTACTGGATTGCATAGTAAGGATCAATAATCATCGTGACAGAAAGAGAAGAGAGAAACACGCCACCACAAAAAAAAACAAACACAACCCCCCACCTCCTCGTGGAATGTTCACCGTGAAGTTCGGCCGAGCGTGCGCGTCATTAGATATGAAACAGCAGTGCACTGGCCGGTCCACCACGGCTGCATATATATCCACATACGTTCACTCAAAACTGCTCGCCCACCCCGCACATTTCTTTATAATGGCGTTTCATTCTTCCTGCTGACAAGCAGCAGAGAGCGCCTGACGGGATGGACTCGCAGCAGGCAGCGGGGGGTACCAACGTGTGTTCCGCCAAGGATGGGGGGGCATCGTTGTTGGCAAGCCTTTCAGGTGGAGGGGGGGGAAGTCGCTTCGGGTAGTTGTCACACTCGCTTAGATGGTGCATGTTTCTCGTTCTCTGTTGTTGACACCCCCGTCCATCGACCTCCACCCATGTACTACGCTCTTTTGATGTCTCCACGGAGGATGGGTGGGTTGTCCGGGATCCTACCCCCCAAGGCGTTGGGCATGTCTTCACTATCTTCGGGGCAGCAACTGGTCAGCAATCCATTTCGGTGTTCAAACGCCTAAGTCTTTGACCGTTTTCAATCCGGAGCCCAGCTTACCGTAAATGACACAAGATAACACACCCCCTGGACCAATTTTCAAAGCTCGATAACTCCACGACGAAGAGGATGCATAAACGAAACGATACATTTTTGGAAAGCTCTTGACGAGACCGTTCCAACGCCGCTGTTTTCGGCGCTGTGACTGTTCCTGCAGTTGAGAAATCGAGCTTCGAAAATTGGCCAAGGGAGTGTGTTATCTTGTGTCATATACGGTACGTACCTCTCTCAGCAGGCAACTCTAACGTACCTCTCTCAGCAGGCAACCCCGCCCCCCCTGTCTGCTGCCCCTTAACTCACCTTTTCCTCGAGCAGCACAAGTCGCAGCTCTTTCTTCGTTCCCCTGCGACAGGATCGCTCCCCACGACGCGGGCGGCCATCCTTCGTAGCCGTTTATGAAACCACGGCCGTAGGTAGCAGCAGCCGTTCTCTGCCTCCCCTTGGAGTCGTTACAAGCGCCAAGCCTCGTTCAAATTCGGTGCTGGACTTCACACCAACAGCTCCCTCCAACGCCAAACACCCCCGTTGCCTGGAGACTGCTCAGAAGTTGAACGCGATCAGCTTGCTCGGTTTCCGAGCGTGGTGGACTCTCTGCAGAGTGCCCTCGATGCCTCGGATGCCTCGCTCGGGAGCCAGCCAGCGATGGTTGAACGTAGGACCCGTCCGAAGAACGCTCCCCGACGAAGGTGACAATCGATACACCGCTTCAACTCTCTGGTTGCTGCCGGCAAGGCCGTCTTTCCTTCTCAGTCACCTTCCTTCACCTCCTGCCGTCCTCCAACAATGCTGTTCTCCTCAAGACAACAGCGGTAGCGAGCAGCTTCGGCGCGCGTGCCTCCTGATCCCCCTCCCACTCTCCCCACTCTCCTCAAGGGGGTACGCAGTTGTAGAGCTGAGGCTGGGGGGTTTGTACTCCGACGGCGGCATTCCACAAAACCGGGCAACGGAACATCCGGGTTTGCGGCGGAAAGCTAGAAAGATCCAAAATTACGGAAAAAGTTGGGAAAACAGAACAACACAAGTATGTTGTCTACTGTACTCCGCACCATGACCAGCCCGACGGCGGCAGAGACATCACCAGATCACAAAAGCTGTTTGGCACACCGAATCATTCTTGGCTTATACCCAACATGAATGTACTGCTGTAGTCAGCTTCTGTCTAATGGTGACTGATCGGCGAGCTCGACATTGGCTTTTATGATCTTGGATGGTGCATTGTTAGCTCAGATCTCATCCAAAAAGCGGTTGGAGAAACAAATCGAACACCGAAAACACCGAAAATAGAACGAAACCATCCGTGAGCGAAAATGCACCGGGTCATTGTCTCCTCTGTGTTCCCTTCTGCGTGGTACACGTAGATCATGTCCTCCAAACGGCCAGCCGGGATATGCTGCTGCTGTTGTGGGTGCGTGCATGCGTGCGGGTGTCCGTGTCTGCGTCGCTCCCTCAACCCCAGCACACGAAATCGCACCACACCAGCACGGAAACAGGAAGTCATTACTGTACACTGGCCGACAACAGCCCCTAAACTTAGTGCTACATGTATGTCGCGAATCAAGCGTTCGGGAGAGAGATGGGGGGTTTGGGACCGGGAGGCACATCCGAGTCAAACGCTCTTCTTTCTAGTAGACACCAGAGAAAATACTCTTGCGCGCGGAAGGACGCGCCCGCCTTCACCAGGAGGCCACTACGTGCTCTTCCTCCTCTCTGCTCTTCCTCTTTGCTGCCGCCGTTGCCACCACCTCTAGGTTCGCGCGCCCTTCCTCCCCCTTGCCTCAATCTGACGGGCGTGTTGCCGATCTCAAGCCAGCCGGAAACAAATCCAACTTCTGACCGTGCAGCCTCCCTGTTTTTGTGTTGGTGGCGCGCCAACTCCAAGGCCTGTCGTTGGGCGCTGGCCTTCTCTTTAGCCGCGCTGACATGTTCTCAGCAGACTGCTGTGGGTGCGTGCGGTGGTGCGTGTGATATATATGTTAGGAGGGTTCTTAACGATTCTTCGGTTTGTTGGAATATGCCGACTGGCTTTCGGAGAAATCCGAACGNGTCGTTGGGCGCTGGCCTTCTCTTTAGCCGCGCTGACATGTTCTCAGCAGACTGCTGTGGGTGCGTGCGGTGGTGCGTGTGATATATATGTTAGGAGGGTTCTTAACGATTCTTCGGTTTGTTGGAATATGCCGACTGGCTTTCGGAGAAATCCGAACGGACCGCCTGACGTTTCTTAA